TCATGGTCACACAGGCTGGTGTGCTTCTTCCATGTGGGCTTTGTTGCTTCTGAGCTAGATGGCCGCTTGTTTATCTTCAAGCCTTTAGGACCCGACACTATATCTTTTGATACACAGGCACCCTCAGCTTTTTTCACCACATTTGCTTATGCACACATTTGTCTTCAGCAATCGTGTTGAGAAGGTGGGCACCCACTGATATGACTTTTTTGTTCTTTGATGTCTGATGACTGGACCCTTCTACACTTTGTGGTCACACAGGCTGGTGTGCTTCTTCCATGTGGGCTTTGATGCTCCTGAGCTAGATGGCTGCTTGTTTAGATAAACAAGCCTTTAAGACCCTAGACACTATATCTTTTGATAGCTGGGCACCATCATCTTTCTTCACCACATTTGCTTATGCACACATTTGTCTTCAGCGATCCTGTTGGGAAGGTGTGCATCATGGAATGCCAATTTAATAGAACAACGTGTTCTTGCATTGAGTAAGTAGTTGAGTGGAGGCCCAATGCCCATCTGCTGCCTTAATACTAAACCTATAAATATATGCACATCAATCTATTTCCCCACCATCCTATATAAACATATTTACATACGTACATGCCTGTATTTAGACCTCTATAAATTCCCTTTGTCTCCTAGTTCTTTCCTCTATTTCCTTTCACTTTCCTCTTGTCCCACTATCATGTAGCCTTAATTTGGGTTTCAGTAATTTCTCTCGGTTATATTGCCCTTGATGAATCCCTACCAAGTCTCTCAAACCCTCCTTTCCACTAATTTTGGATCACTTGTTGCTCCCCTCTCCCCATGTTGGTCAACACCACTTCCTTACCTCTGCTTCCCCCTCTCCCATGTCCCCCCAGAACCATTGGTCTCTTTTCTAAATGCAAAAATATGCTATAGTTCACTATCCTTAAAAAAAAAGAGCAAATGTTTATTTTTGTAATAGGTATAACTCTATGACCTTAAAAATCTCTCTTTATGAAAATACAGTAATACTAGAGAACCTGTTTCTCAGTACCTTGCACAAAAGTTTCAACCATATAAATTAACAGATGATTTCAACAGGGAGTAATAAACTCATTCCTTTTAGAAAGTTAAGATTTCAAATAAGAATTAGAATGAAATAAACAGGTGCAATTCTGGGTTGTGATTACAATGTGAACTAATTGAATCAATATGTATAAAAAAGCATATGCATCATTTAAATTGAGTTATTTGAGGCTTTATATTAATTTCAGATCTATATTCAGTAATGTGGCTTAAAAAAAGAATTTTCTTTTTTTTTTAACCCCTTAGCTCTGTGATTCACTAATAGAGACCTGCCAAAGGCTACAAACTGCATTATGACTCTTCAAGCACATTGGGTCAGCTGGATTGTATGGCTTAAATGGCAGAGCCACTTGCCAACAGCCTGGATCTATTGCTGAGTTTTCTTTTCTTCTGGGCCCAACTCAAAATTAAGAGCCCTGTGAGTGATTTGCTCCATAGGATAGAGTAGTACAATCAAATGAGTGATATTACTTCCAAAATCAAAAGCCCACCTGGTGTTATGCTTTTTTGTGTGTTTTGGGAGGGCTCAGGTACAATAACTTATCCTTCACTCCAGAAGAAATATCTCCATATACACCACAGCACTAGACTCATAGAAATTCATGGAGGTGGAAAGCACCTCTGTAGGAAGAAGCTTTGTCAGGCAAATTTCCCACTTTCTTGCATACAGATGTTTTACCAATAAGTTTAAAGATATTCATATTTTTCCCTAGTAGGTCTAAATAGCATACCATCATCAATGCAATGGTGATCAAGATCCCTGCAGGTTAAATTGTAGTATAGTAGGAGAGTCGTGAATGTATATTATTGCCCTTGTCAGCTGGAGGCAAACTGGTTTTGGTGGTTCTTTGAAAACAGAATTGAGTAAAAGGCATTGGCCAGATCAGTAGCTGAACACCAAGTACTAGGAGAAGTATTAATTTGCTCAAGCCAAAACACACACACACACATATTTGGAACCACAGCTGCAAGAGGAGTCCCCTCCTGATTACATTTACGGTAATTTACACTCCTGCTCAAGGTCCGCATTTTTGCACAGGCAAAATAGATAAGTTAAATCAGGATGTGGTGGGAATCATCACCCCTACGGTAAGCCTTCCAGGAATTTTACTTGGTTTACTCTTATCCTGGGCAGAGATAGTTCTATTGGCTTCCATTTGGCTTTTCCTATCATAACATCCCTCATTCCACATGTCAGGGATCCAATATTCTGATTCTGCCAGTTTCTCAATATGTCTTTTCTAAATATACATTCTGTAACTGGAGAAATTACTGCAAGATTTGTTCTGGGACCCAGTCAACTCATTTTGACATAAACCTAAGATAATATTCTATTAACAACTTATCCTCTATCTGCTCCCACTCTGTATGTAGGCCTCCCAAATATTTTTTCTCCTGCAATTAGCCATTGCCAGTGATCCCTGAACAGTCTAATTATTTCCTTTTCACCGATGAACAGTGACTCTTGTGAAAGGTTGCAAATCCTGTTGGAGCAGGCTGGGGAGAAGACTAACAATATCCAATTTGGGTCGTATATTGGGGTGCTTCATCAAAGAGATTCAGCCTACTCTTTAGCCAAAAGGTTGTGGGCCTGTAAACTAGAACTTGATGAAGGGCTCATGCCCCTCTGTTGTGGATATTTGAGTTAACTGATACTCAGCTGACTGAGAATTCTTCTGCTTACATATATCAGGTAAATGTTTAGTAGGTTTCCCTTGTATCTAACAATAATGGATTAATTTCTTCAGATGAGAAGGATTATGTATTTGTCTGAAGTAATTCAATGCAATTTAGATGCCCAATGTCCTCACCTTCATGATTATGTGTCCATAGATCCCCAACCCAAGTTTCTGATTCTGTTTCTTGCTAATCAATGCCCTAATTTTAACATCATGAATGATTCTAGGTTGAGTATTCATATGGCATTGTAATTCAGCTAGCCTTCTGATAAGACTCTAGTCTGTTTTTGGTATTATCAGCTTTGGTACTAAAAAGTAAATCCCACCAGTGGAAACTTAGGTCTTTTATACTACTTTAACTGTGCCTCCAAAGCCCTGAACTTTGCTCTCTCCTTTACCAAGTTGTCTATTGTAAGTAGTGCCAACCAACCAGCTTCTTTATACTTCTCATCCTGACCAAATTTATGAAAAATAGAAAACACCCAATCATCAAGAGTCTGTATTATCATAAACACTTTATTTATATGTAATAGTATTTTGAGTATTAACACCACATAACATGGATTATTAGTGACCTTATTACTAATAGTGGCAGATTTATCCACACTAATAGATACAGAGGCAGAATTCTCAGTGTCCTGAGAACTAATGAGGCTGTGGAACCAATTCAGTAAACTCATCTTTATGATTTTAAGAACTACTCATATATAAATAAAGTTATACAAAGGAAGTGGCTCACACAGTTTTAGAAACTGGTAAATTCAGTCTGGCTTAAGTGCATTGGTAATATGTG